CTACACTTCTCATGAAACCATTTGCTTTGCTTTAGAGTTGCTGGGAGTTGGGCAACACATACAGTCAATAAATGATGATGGGCTTAAGTCAAGGATTCTGCAGTCTCCTCCTTGTGAACTTAATGGTTTTAATAAAAGTCCAAGTGTGAACCTCAAAGAGATGAAGAAAAATGAGACTCATACTGGTAGTGGGACTCTGGTGGAGAGTTAATCTCAGTCCTATCAATAAACCTGGGCTACAGAATTTGGTGTAACAAACAGGACTGCAGAAGAAAAAGAATGGAAAAGAGATACAATTTTTTGGGTAGGACCGCAATTTCTCAGGTAGGACCCAATCTTCCTATACATTTTTTCAGAAGGAAAGCCCCTCTCCTCTTTTTAGTTGTCTATTGTTTAGATGGTTTGCATGATCAAGAGAAACATACAGCAAAACAAGAGAGACATTAGTAGGAGATTTCATAAAAATTGCAAGTAACATCTCAGTGTCAGGCAAGGCTCTTAAGAAGAGGCACTTGGGAACTTATTATTAGAGCAAATAAATAGAAGAAAACAAGAAAATAGAGGGATTTTCTAAGGAGGTTTAGTGGAGAAGGCTCATACTAACCTTCAAGAGAAGAAATGTCAAGGTAAAATTTGCCATTGTTTGAGGAAGCCAAGCTTCAGACAGAAGGGCTACTTGTTTGGTCAAATAGTTTCTTCAGCAGGACAAAACCAAGCTTGTCAACAATAAATATGAGTGCCAAAAGTCTTAGGAAAGGAAGTATTTTCAAAATTTACCACAGAATATAAAATATTTGACTAGCTGTCTATCTTGTGTAAGGTTATGTAATTGTGCTCAATGTAATGAGCTCTCAGTTTTCAAGAACAAGTCCATTCCTTTGAAACCAAGATGGCTAAGTTGGGAGATGCTCAGAGAATATGTTGCTGAGATCTAATAGGATATAACAGCCTTATCTCTCACTCCGAATGATAGCTCCTTTGCTATGAAGGTGAAGGGAGGTATCCTTATGAAGAAGGACATCATCTCAAGAATGAATCAGATATTCCCTTTAGAGGGACCCAATCATTGGGTGATAAATTCACATTCTCTCATACCTGACACCTCCTTCAGGGATAGGTAGAAGTTTTTGGTTGTGTGCAATTTGATATTAGAAGCAGAGATGAGTCAAGTGATGGATGTATAAATTGTATGTTAATTTGTCTTCTTAATAAAGACTACAGACATTATGCACAGTTTGGAGAAGCTGCTTGATATTATAGGGGGATGAAGCAGTGGTCAATGAATTCTCACCAGAGATTGGCTACATTCATGCATTGAGTAAGAAGTCAAAATTTTCCAAATGACTGTGAATTAACACTGTTGATCTTGGAACTCAACAAAGGAAAAGCAACCCTAGGTTTAATCCACAGTGATGACCATTATCTCATATAAGACTTAAGTGTTGTAGAGATGGTAGGAAGCAGTGAACAAAATGCGGTTACGTAAACCCGACATACAACTGGGAAATTGCTTACAGGATTCAATGCAATTACATCTGACTACAAAAGGGAAAAAAACTAAAGCCAAAGATGTTGGTGAATAAAAGATGGAAAGGAAGGATTGAGTGGGTCACATCACTCAATAATGCCTATAAATTATTTAAAATCATAATAATTAAGACTCAACTAGAATGTCTTCTACAATATCAGGAAGGGTCAATCCAGTTCCAGAAAATCTCTAATAATTCCCAAGAGCCTATAAAGTTAACCTGTAAAGGCAGGATAAAAGCAGCCCAAACAAAGAAAAAATAAAGAATAAAAGGAAAAAGGAAATTGGAATATTTTGTAATGCTTTTATATAACTCCACATTAAATTCATGTTAGGAACCCTGTTCTGGTGGTCACATTGTAAAATGATATAATACAAATCAGGCAGAAAAGGACAACCTAAATTGGACTGCCATTTGTTAGAAATGGTGTAGGGGCTCCCGCTTGGGTGGGGGGTTGGACTAGATGACCTACAAGATGCCTTCCAATTCTGATTATCTGATATCTGTTAAATGACTTGAACACCTGCCCTAAAGAAAAAGAAATTTGGGACCTTAGCATAGAAAGTATGCATTTGAAGTGATCTTGCCTGGGCTACACAAAAGCAAGCATGCATGGAGACAAGTTGTCCCACACTTTCTCAAAACACTAGAGGTCATCCAATGAAGCTGAGGAAAGAGCTTTTGAAGAGCAAAAGAAAGCACTTTCTTCATATGGAAACTAATTCACATGTTGAATTGATGGCCACAAGTCATGGGGATGACTACTGATTTGGATGGTTTTAGGGATAGTTGAATAAACGTATAGAGGATCAGTTTATTATGGGCATTTAGTCTTCACAAATTAATGCTACTTCCTTGTTAGGAACTGGATGCACCCAAATATGAATTGCAGAGAAGAATTTGTGGGAGAAGGAGGTGTCTCTAAGGATCTCGGAGACATCAAGTTGGCCAGTGTGAAAAACAAAATGCTGCACTGAGATAGCCTTGGTTCTGATCCATAAAAACCTACTCTTACGATGTTAACAATAAAGTAAGGGGATTTTTGTGCTTAGGAAACTACACAGCAGAAGCGCTTTACTGACATGTCCAATATTATCCATGCAGGAAAATATTATGCTGTACGGAAATAATCTATTGTGATTTCCACTACCATAATCTAAACTAGTATAGGATAAAAAAAGAACAGTACTGTGTAATTCTACTGAATTTTAGCATTTACTCTCATGCTACTGAAATCTTATTGTCATTGTACAGAATCTGTTCTGTTCTGATCTATATAAATTACATAAGAGAATATGAATAACCAAATTTCTTTCACTGACTAAAAAAAAATGACTAAGCTTTTCAAACAAGCCAACCCCAAATCTAACTGAGATCAAATCTAATCCAATCATGTCATCGTCTTTTTTTAATGACCCCATAATTCTTTGCGAAGTGGTGTCTGGGTAACTGAATAGAGCTAGGAGAGTATTTACTGGCTGGATGCCCTTCCTGTTGCCAATGTGGAGCTTTGTACAGCAGATATATTCTCGTTGTGCCTAGAAAGAAATATCTGCCTCTACCTAGGATTGAACTCACAGCCTCCTGTGAGGTGAGAGCTCCACTTCTAGACTACTGCACCACTCTAGTCCAATCATGTAATGCCGTATCATAATTAATCACTTTGGTGTCTTCAAGGAATGGTCATAATAGTCAGAATAGGCAAGTGTGATGGTGCAGTTGAAGCTCTGCTTGTTTTCATGGGCAATGTAATGCAATATAGATACAAACCAGGTAGAACTTTGGTTGCACCAATGTTGATGCCATCCAAACTTTTATGACCATATTCTTTGGACAGTCCTGATTCACTCGGAAACAAATTCAGGTCAGTGGGAATTAGCTGAGATGGCACAAACAAGCAAGTATGGAATCCAAATCCAAATGAGAAAAAGTTAAAATGTGCCAAAGTACAAATAATGTTTTGGTATGTGAAAAGATGCACTTGTTCTACCCAATCACTGGATCTCTATATTCTCTGTGTTCTTGGGAACATACTATAGTTCCCTCCTGGACATACCAACTTGATTTGTCAATCTTATCTTTAAATAAAGAAAAGTCTGATCTGTTTGACAGGTGACTTTGATAAGTCACCAGCCTGGGCACAAATGAGCATTTTCTACAGCAGTCTGCAGCAGTGGTGGGATTCAAATTTTTTTACTATCGGTGCTGTGGGCGTGACTTGGTAGGCGTGTTGTGGCTTGGTGGGTGTGGCTTGGTAGGCATGGCAGGAGAAGGATACTGCAAAATCTCCATTCCCTCCCCACCCCACTAACCTGCTTTCCAGCTCCATTCTCCTGTGCAGGGCAACAAAAGAAGACCCAGCCGATCACCTGGGACTCAGGAGGCAGAGAATAAATGGGGGCAGGGCCAGTCAGAGGTGATATTTGCTGGTTCTCCAAGCTACTCAAAATTTCCTCTACTGGTTCTCCAGAACTGGTCAGAACCTGCTGAATACCACCTCTGGTCTGCAGCCCATATCCCGTGGCCATATTTGTCCCCTAGCACTCTTTCCACTCCCCCAGTATATAACTTTTCACAGAAAACAAACAAAAAACTGAATCAATGTTATTAAGATGCCATTAATGTCAACATATCTATTACAGTTGAATTCCAGTGCCTCCAACCCTTCTCCTTATTCATCAATGTTGTTGCTTGATCCCCTGGGACAACATCACAACATCACTGTCATGCCATCTGAAGTTCACAGAGGGAAGGAGGAAGAAAAGAAATGCAGTCCTTGGATACAAAGAAGATCGTCTGCTCCTGTTCTTGAGGAAAGCATTGGAAATATTAATGTTTTTCCCTACCAATGGAACCCGATTTTAAGTTGCTGATAGTTTGTCGAATGCATTTTGTGGTGAAAGCTTAAGTCAGTGCAACAACAGGAGGCATTTCATGCATTGGGCTTCCTAGAAAGGCTTCATAAGCTCTTCTAGTTTGTGTAAAGGATCAGTTGCTGCCAACATCAAATGAAATAACATCAGGGCTAGGAGGGTGTGTGTAGAGAAATCAGTTTTGATTCCTTTGGTTGGGCCTTTGGTGGAATTCAGGATGGACCCTTGACAGAACCATCCTGAGCAGCAGAGAGTGAGTGAAATAATTACTGGCAGAAGGATCCAAACCTTGATAAGAATGAAGGGTTTCCAATGAGAGCTAAAAGAAGTTGTGACCTCAATTCACACAACACTCTTACCCGGGTCATTTAAAGACCTAACAAATGCATTCGCACAATATGTTGAGCTTGCATGTAACTCATGAAGCTTGCCATGTTGTGGGAATGCTTACTGAGTTAAGCCATCATGGTTCATAGTATTAGTCCCCCAAATGGGTGAATCCAGTACCTGGGTTGAACAGGTTGTGTGAATGCAGCCCCTGAATTTCAGCCCAAGTGACCAAATAAAATAAAATGACATGGTTGTGTTTCTATCGCATCTACTCTGGTGAGTAGTCTAACTCATCATTAGAAATCAATGCATCTGAGTTCTGTTTGTGTTTGGCTTTGTTCTTTGATTTGCTACTTGTCCGACTGCTCTCCTTTCCTTTAGACATTTGCTGATAAGAGAAATTTTTGTCATCAACAGGTTCCCAGTCCTGGTACTTTTCATTCCCAGTGGAGTCAAATCCTTCTTCAACAGAGAATGGATCCACATCCACATCGTAACGCTGGTAAGTGCTTTGGTGCAAAGCTTCTTCTCGAGCGGTGATTTCCAGAGTACTGTTCCATATGCCGTAGCCAAAATAAATCAGCAGCCCTAGGGAAAAGAGAATAAAATTTGGCCCATTAATGACTATGTTCATGTACCAAGTCCACCATGTTTTATTTTAATCATGGTCAGTAGACAAAGCCAGGAGCAAGATAAAAAATATTATAGCAATAGCAATAGCACTTAGACCTATATACCGCTTCATAGCCCTCTCTAAGCAGTTTACAGAGTCAGCCTATTGCCCCCAGCAATCTGGGCCCTCATTTTACCCACCTCAAAAAGATGGAAGGCTGAGTCAAGCTTGAGCCCAGTGAGATTCAAACTGCCAAATTGCAGACAGCCAGCCATCAGCAGAAGCAGCCTGCTGGACTGCCTTCTAACCACTGTGCCACCATGGCTCTTATTTATTTATTTATTTCTTTTTTTTGATATGCATTTACTAAAGAGGAAAGCTGACCTACATTAGGACTACACAAAACTTTGGAAGGATCTCACTTTGACAATGTTTGAAGTGAAACAACTCTTCCAAGCTGCTTCATGAAGAACAGGCAGTCCTTGACTTCATTTCGTGACCGTTCAAAGTCACAACGGCACTGAAAAAAGTGACTTGCGACCATTTTTTTCACAGTTACAGCCTTTGCAGCATCCCCATGAGCATGTGATCAAAATTCAGATACTTGGCAACTGGTTCATACTTAATGGCCGTTGCTATGCCCCAAGGTCATGTGATCAAGGCTATGACCCCAAGGTCATGTGACAAGCAAAGTCAATGGGGAAGCCAGATTCACTTTAACAACTGGGTGACTAATTTATCAGCTGCAATGATTCCCTTAACAACCCTGGCAAGAAAGGTTGTAAAATAGGACAAAATTCACTTAACAAATGTCTCGCTTAACAACAGAAAATTGGGGCTCAATTAGTGGTCGTAAATTGAGGATTACTTGTCATGCAGGATTCTTCTCCTACTACTAAAAGTGTGGCAAGGCCACCATATATCTATGAAAGATTCTCAATCATCTAAGTAATGGTTGTCCCAAAAGGTGCTTTTCCAAAAGGCAACTGGACTTTTGGGGGGTTTTTTTCCCTTGAAAATGTGCTTCTCATCCAAGAAGTTCCCTCAGTTCTGATTGAATGGTGGGGAATAGAAGGATTTATATTCTTTGCCATCATCTGGTCATTAGTAGTCTAAATTAGCTCTCTTAGAGTCATTGAGGCCACATGGGGGATTTATCTGTACCCTCAGGGTCACCTGAATCAGAGTGCACATGGGGGTGGAACAGAGGTAGTGTTCAGCTGGTTTGGATAGGTTCTGGCATACTGGTAGCGGAAATTTTGACTAGTTTGGAGAACCGACAAATACCACTTCTGGCTGGCCCTGCCCACCTGCCCCCACCCTTTCCTGTTCTATATTCTATTGATTTTTAGCTCAGCTGAATCGCACAGCAGAGCGGATTGCTGCACCTCAGCTGAGGTAAAAAAAATCAGCTCACCTCACCGAGGGAGATCGTTGAGTGTTACACGCGCATGCAGAACCGGTAACGTACAATTTGGAATCCCACCACTGGTGTGGAACCGTTCAGCAGTCCCAAGAAGGTTCCACATCCATTTGCACTCTTGACTCAATTGACCCCAAGAGTCCAGATAAATCCCCAAGTGGCCTCCACAGAGAGCTAACAACCCACTTTCTGAATGCTAACAACTGGATGACTGTGCAAAGAATAGAAATCTTTCCATTGCCCACCATTCAGTTTGAAATGAAGAAGCTTCTTGGATAAGAAGTGAAATGTTTTCAAGGAGAAAAGACAAAAAGGAAAAAGTCTAGTTGCCTTTTGAAAAGCACCTTTGGGACAAGGCAGTCATATTGCTTCACTTGGCCTTGCGTCTGAGATCTCTCCTGGCAATCCCAGTGCCTGGAAAAAGATTTTACACTTCAACAGATGCAGAGAGGTTGCTTTAGGCAACTTGAACTGCATGTTGTGTATCTGATTGTGTATCTGAGGCAACAAGAAGTGCCTCGCTGCTGCAAATTGTGTTACCTCATAGGCTGGCAGAGAACAAGGTCATCTCCTGAGTATGAAGTGCCTAGAGGAGGCAGAACTCACAGAGGTCCACTGTATTCACTGCCATAAACTTGAATAGTTTACTTTATAATATTTATAACTCAAGTATGGAATATATATACTGCCCAATAGTTATATAATTGGCTCAGTTCTGTTGTTCCTGCTTCTTTCATAATGAATTCTTTCTCCCCACCAAAATATGTATTATTTATTGCATTGTTCAGTTGCAAAACAACACACCCAGGCAGAAAAGAAACAATGTTGAAGGACAGCCTATTTTTCTTTTTCTTTAAGCTTTCCCACTTGTGTTTTTCATCAGAAGATGATCAAAATAAGCTACATGCATCATCTAATTAATTTTAAAAAAAATTAGAGAGGCTACCCATTCTCTCTAGATTATTCAAAAATTAGCCATAGAAAAACAGAGGTTAAAAAGAGCCATTAAAAGGAGCAATCTGCATATGCAGTGAAAATGTAAATAATGGATGTGACTAAACAAGAGGACATTTTACTTAAGGCTCCAATAGTTCACCATGTAAATGTAGCCTTGAATAATTCCAGATAATTTTTTTCAATCCAGTGATGTTATGTGAAGCCATTTCACAATTCTTTCATTAAGGACACTGTTCAACTAGGGCTTAACAAGAAGAGCTCAGACAATGTAGACTAAGTCATAAATTGTTTTTTATTACCTATATCTGGAATCACTTTATGTTTATGCCTCAGGATGTTGAATCAAAATGATTTTGGAAAAGCCAATTCAGAGATTTCTTCTGTCTATGCTAATGAAAACAATAGGTTTCTCTCGGGCTCTGCAGATATGCAGAGTGGACAGCAGCTCTCATTACAGACAACAGACATGGGGCTTCTTCATGGCTTTATAAACTGTGATTTGCAAAGTCAGGGAGAATCACCTGAACATTTTCACTGTTGGCTTCTTAAGGTTTTGAGACTAGGTGCTTCCAAATAGCAATAGAACTAGCACTTAGACCTATACATCACCCCACAGTGCTCTTACAGTACTCTCTGGGAGGTTTACAGTGTCAGCAAATTGCCCCCAAACAATCTGGGTCCTCGGAAGGATGGAAGGCTGAGTCAAGCTTGAGCCAGTCAGGATCGAACTCCTGACTGTGGGCAGTGAGACTGCAATTCTGCATTCTAACTACTGCACCAGCATGGCTCCTAACACTGAAGACCTAACCATTCTAACCATCAAATCAAGAAAAACCTTGCAGAAGTGAATGGAGTTGGCTGAAAGGGCAAAATTGACTACTCTGGTTAAAGAAAAGAACGCAAATACTTTTGTTTCCAATGGAAACCTCTTCTGAATTTCGTGCTTGATATGGAAAAGAATGTAATTTTGACTTTGGGTTTTATAGACTAGATTGATAGATCTTTATAGAAATGACTTGTCCATATTATTATGGAAAAACAAAAAGTTGCGATTTGATGCTAATGCCTTATTTTACCGCAACAGAGAGAGTTGGGAGTCAATGCTTCTTTTTTTCCCTCTTTTCCCTACCTTCCCTCACTTCTCTTTCCTCTTCCCTTGCCCTCCACATTGCTCTTTTATTTACTTTTGCATTTTATAATACCTAATAACTTAATAAAAACACCTGATATATAAGAATAACTCTTGAAGAGGATAGGAATTAAAGTTTTAGTCCAACATTAGTGAAAGGCTGCTTTGATTACTGCTGTTTCAGATTCAGGACATACCCACAAAACACCAGACGGCAAACCGTATCCAAGTGATCTTCGAAAGTTTCAGCATGAGATAGATGTTCACGAGCATGGCAAACGCAGGAACAAAAGGCAGGCAGGGGGCCATGTAAGGCAGTTTTTTGGGGTTTTCTGGCTGTTGGAGGATAACAAAAACCAACATAATAATTAGCAGAACCATGAGGACCACCAGAAGAATCGCCCACCAGCTTTGGTCATAAAGAAAGTCCACTCCAAAGATAATGAAAGAGCAGAAGACAAACATAAGGACAAACAGCAAGAGGACACAGGTGGTAACAGTCTGGCCTGTAGCTGCTGTAGGTCTGTCCATTTTCCCGGGCAGTCCAAGATGGATTCTCATAGTGTAATATCGTGGTCCTATCAATTTCTTCAACTTGATGAGATAGATGTTTTCAGACTCGTCTGCTTCTATTCCTGAGGTCATGTCAACGGTGCCATAGTTGGGATGGTTGATGTTGTAGGTGGACTTGTCTGATTTTCCAATTAGCATCTCATTGTCACCCAAGGAAGGGAGGTTCTTTGCACCGCAGGGGTTGGTGGGGGGTCCTGCAAAATCTTCCCCTTCGCTAACCGGAGAGCAAACTTCTTTTTCACAATCAGCTAAAATCCCTTCTTTCTTTTTTGTGTGCTCTTCAGAAAGGAATTTGACGAAGCCATCGATATCGCTCTCCGGTTGGTACCGCAGAAGCAGGACACACACGGAGACCAACGTGTAGGCAAGTAAAGTACCAATGGACATCATCTCTATCAAGTCTCTCAGGCTCACTAGCAAGGAGAGAAGTGCTGCTAGAAATCCTGAGACGATGCATGCTACTACGGGAGTCTCAGTATAAGAGCTGACATGGCCCAAGAATCTAGGGAGAAAAGAAGGAAAGTTACTTATCATCAACACCCTGATTAATATTAAGGACAGGCAATGCAAAGAGATTTGAGTGGGATAGGATTTAATGATCTGCTGTCCTTCAGGCGTGTTGAGATAGACCAAGGGTGTGAAACTCAAAGCCCACGGGCCAAATCCAGTCAGCGGGGCGCTTAGATCTGGCCCATGGGGCCACTCTGGAAACAGTGAAGGACTGGCCCACAGTGCCTTAGCCGGCAAGCATGGAGCTTGTGAGGGCCTCATGCGCAGGGGTGGGATTCAAATTTTTTAACAACCGGTTCTGTGGGTGTGGCCTAGTTGGTGGGCGTGGCTTGGTGGTTATGTGACTGGGTGGACGTGGCTTGGTGGTCATGTTATTGGCTGGGCGTGGCTAACTCAATATCACTCACTTCGAGGCACGCATCCCCTCGCCTGGCCTCTCATGACTGTGGGGATGCTGCAACAGTCATAAGTGTGAAAAAGGGTCATAAGTCACTTTTTCAGTGCCATTGTAACTTTGAATGGTCACTCCACACAAGCAAAGTACCATCAAAGGAGGGGAAAAAATTCCAGAGAAGTTCCTGAGACAGGAAGTCTAGTCCTGCCAAGAATGTAATAAAGGTTAATGGAGAGGCAGTTTCTGTAAGCAACACCAGAATGTTTCCTTCCTGCCTTCTTTACAGGATTAGCCCAGTAATTTCTTCTAACAACCGGTTCTCCGAACTGCTTAAAATGTTAACAACCAGTTCTAGTGAATAGGTGTGAACTGGTATTATCCCACCCCTACTCATGCGGCCTTCCTGGGCTCCATTTTCCTTGGTAGAGGGCTGCAGGATGTTGAACTGGTCACACCCACTTTGGTATGCCCACCCCAGCCACACCCACTCGGCCCCCCAAGGTCAAACCCAACCCTGATGCAGCCCTCAATGAAATTGAGTTTGACACCCCTGAGATAGATTATATAATTCCCAGTCAGAAGAGATCAAAGCTGTATTGACTTGGAATTCTGTAAGTTATATTCTCCATAAGTCTGAAAGGACAGGCTGATGAAGGAAAGGACTGCATTATGTTACACATCAGGAGGAAAGTCTGAAAACTTCTTTAAAACTTTCAATGAAGAATAGGGCTTAAGGCCAATCCCACTTCCAATGTCCCTGTGTGCAGCTCACTTTATTTATTCTATTTGCAAATGGGGCAGGGAAAGTATCTGTAAGGAAAAATGGTGGAAAAAGAACCCAAATCTGGAGGTGGTATTCAGCAAGTTCTGACCAGTTCTGGAGAACCAGTAGTGGAAATTTTGAGTAGTTGGGAGAACCGGCAAATACCACCTCTGACTGGCCCCGCCCCCATCTATTCGCTGCCTCCCGAGTCCTAGCTGAACGGCTGGGTCTTCTTTTGCTGCCCTGCACAGGAGAATGGAACTGGAAAGCAGGTTAGTGGGGTGGGGAGGGAATGGAGATTTTACAATATCCTTCCTCTGCCACGCCCACCAAGCCATGCCCATCAAGGTATGCCACGGCCACCAAGCCACGCCCACAGAACTGGTAGTAAATTTTTTTGAATCCCACCACTGCTCAAATCCTCCAAGATACATACAGACCTATGTTAACATTTAGCAGAACGAGACAGTGGGGAAGTTGAGAATGATATCCAGCTATTCCTTCTAAATTTTCTCATCATTTCTCTTTCTTAGATTACAGAATTGAGTTTTGCAGATAGCATGCTTTGCATTGCTAATTTAGCTTTCTTCCCTCTGAAAGATCGTACCGATATTGAAATGAGTTGAAGCTCAGTTCAGTTGGCTTCTCCACATGAAATGGCTGGCCTTGCATGTTACACACCCACTATTGGCATATCAATATTCATAATTTGGATTCGATGCATGTTCCTTCTCACTGAACCTTTCAGCTCTAAAATAAGCTTTTTACATTATTTACATTTTAGATATAGGCCAAATATGTTAAAATTCAATTATATGCTCATTGAACCACAGTGACTGTGGAATATTTACTGGGCAATAGACAATGGATCATTGTACATAAATTCATTCATGATTGATGAATTATGGATAAGAATTGTACTCATATGCATTCATGTGCTCCTCTTCTCTCTTCATGACTTCTTCAGTGAGCAAATCTCAGTTTAAACTAGAATTGCCATTACATTTGAACCAAAGAACTTAGAGAAGATTCTGACTTATTATCTTGATTATTTAATTACATTTTGTTAGCTGCCAGAGTCACTGTTAGTGAGGGTGGCCATATACATTTTCTAAATAGATAAATAAAATTAGAATTTTCTGGTTTGAACTTAATGGGAAATTTGAATTAGACACAAACCACAACCTTCCCTCCACTGAAGCTGACAGATGATGAGAAGAATATGGGGAGGCCATGGAGCCCAAAAATAGTTGACTCATGTTTCTGCATAACTGCTTTGAGATTTTATCTCAGCATTGAAGAAAGCAACTACCCAAGGAGAACCTCAACTTTCTTATCAGGATTTAAAATACTTTAAATACTTTAAAAATACTTTAAATCCTGACAAGATTAAAGAAATAAAGATTAAAGAAGGGACACAGTAGCTCAGTGGCTAAGATACTGAGCTTGTCGATCAGAAAGGTTGGCAGTTCGAATCCCTAGCACTCCGTAACAGAGTGAGTTCCCATTACTTGTCCCAGCTTCTGCCAACCTAGCAGTTTGAAAGCATGCAAAAATGCAAATAGAAAAATGGGGACCACTTTGGTGGGAAGGTAACAGTTTTCCGTGCACCTTCGGCATTTAGTCATGCCGGCGACATGATCACAGAGATGTCTTCGGACAGCGCTGGCTCTTCAGCTTTGTAACGGAGATGAGCACTGCTCCCTAGAGCCGGAAACGACTAGCATGTATGTGCAAGGGGAACCTTTACCTTTACTTTGAGGTATTCATATTTGTTTGTACTGTGATTGTCAATGTTGTGTGGATATGTTAATATCTTACCTGAAGAGAAGTCCATCACCAGCCATAGCATAAATTACTCGAGGCATTGGGAAGAGGGAGCCCAGCAAGCTCACAGTGAGCCCAGCAACAGATCCAATAGCAACTATGAACTTGGCCGTGTAAAATCCATGAGCTGCAAACATCTCCATCAGGGGCGATTCTGTATCAATGTCATTGTATGGCACCATCAGCGTTAAGATAATGCTGACCTATTGCAAAAAACAGGAATACATAGAGTTAGAGAGAAGGACATGGATGAAAACAAATTTGAGGTTTCACTAAGATTGAATTTCAGTATATTATTTGAAAATACTAACAGTAGTAGAAAATACTACAGTAGTTTTGCTGGTGTTCGACTTGTTTGGTCAAAACCTATTTTGAGAACAGCAAGAAATTGTTTTTCCAGATGGCTTTTCAGTCGGATAGTTTTTCCTTTGTTTATATATTTGTCTTTGAGCTGTGCTTGATCTTGTTTTGTTTCTTAGGATGTTTGGGATTGGGTTTTTTTTTTCATTGTTACCTTTTTAAAATTGTGAGCCATCCAGAAGTATTAGAAATCAGATGGCCCTCTAAACTGAATAAATAAAAAAAACAATGAAATACTAAACTATGCCGCCCTAAATTAAACATCTCTTTAGTACTATTTCCTACTTTTAAAAAAAACAAACCCCAGAACTTTTAGTTTTGCAAATCTAAAAAGGAGATAATTCCATACTGTAAAAGAAAGTTTAAACTGGCAACAAATGTTAGCTGCCCCTATAATTTATTGGTGACTAAATTCTGGCTTCATTGACTGAAAGAAGTCACGTCTTGCCCCTGAGAAGTTGTGGAATGTTTATGAATATTCCAATAGTTCAGATTTTTTACAAAAAACATCAGTATGCAAAGCCAAAGGAGAAATGGAGTTGTTGGATAGGCGGCATTTTACAACAACAGTTAACTGTAAGTTTATGAAAGATATGCATGGGAGGATTATTTAAATAGGGACAATATGTAATCTAAGCACTATGTGCCTTCTGTATTAATAATGTGTGTGTGTGTGTGTGCATGTGTGTGCATGTGTGAAATGGAATGTGAATGTAGAATAGGCAAAGACAAGATTTGTTGTTAGTTGCAAAGTTGTGTCCGACCCATTGCGACCCCATGGACAATGTTCCTCCAGGCCTTTCTGTCCTCTACCATTCCCCGGAGTCCATTTAAGCTCATGCTGACTGCTTCAGTGACTTCATCCATCCTCCTCATTTTCTACCGTTCCCTTCGTCTTTTGCCCTCAATCGTTCCCAGCATTAGGACTCCAGTGAGTCCTTCCTCCTTCTCATTAGGTGGCCAAAGTATTTGAGTTTCATCTTCAGGATCTGGCCTTCTAAAGAGCAGTCAGGGTTGATCTCCTCCAGGACTGACCGGTTTGATCACCTTGCAGTTCAAAGGACTCACTGGAGTCTTCTCCAGCACCATAGTTGGAGTCTCACTCACTGGAGTCTTCTCCAGCACCAAAGGCCTCAATTCTTTGGCATTCAGTCTTTTTTATGGTCCAACTTTCACAGCCATACATTGCATCTGGGAAAATCATAGCCTTGACTATACACACTTTTGTTGGCAGCGTTGCTTTTTAGTATGCTGTCTAGATATGCAATTACTTTCCTCCCCAGGAAAGATAAGATTAGAAATAGCAAATGTATCTCATTCTTTGTTAGCAAGACTGGACTAAGATCTTTCACTGCCTGAACAGGACAAGAAATTCTTCCCTCCCAACCATCTTTCATCTTTTATTTTCCCAGACAGAAAATGTTACAAATATCTCTCTCTTCTTTCTGGCACTCAAACTGTAAGAATAATAAGCTAAATTTCCCATTCAATTATCAGTTAAAATTCCTTTGTCTTTTCATAAAAGTCAAAGTTAGCTATTCACCACTGAATTCTCTAAGGTGTTATCCCCATATTCGTAGGGCAGAATTCCAGCTGGTTTTTGCCCCATGATAGATTCTTTTTTAAATGTTTTGTAATTAACAATATTAGCAAAGAGTAAAGAATTTAAATATATTATTTTTCTGTTAATTTAGGTTAACTGTGGTTTTGAGACTTCTGGAGGGACTAAATTGGCAGCAGATGATGCAGGAAAAATCCAACTATTATATCTATTTTCAGGCTGCTATCCATATAATCCTTCTTCTTCTTTACTTCCTGTTTTACCACTTTGGGTGTTGAGCAAAATACAACATTCTGGTACTTGCTCTTCTGGGCTGCTTAAATTCAGATGACCATGAGAAATATCCTTTGTTCTAGATGTTTTATCGTCCAGATATTGTCAGACAAAGTAAGCAGAACTACACATATAAAGTTCATGCTCGGTACTTTATTATAGTCTGCCTATTATACAGGAATCTCCCTAGACTGCCAGCCTCAGCCTGGGAACAGGTAGATAAGGTTCTGTAGAGCTTACGAGTGTGGGTGTGTAGGGGTCAGTTTTGAACCTGTTGTGGCTCTGCAAGGACTCAAAGCTAATCCTACACTTGAGGCCCCCTCCGCCCCTGCCCCCTTGGCTGGGTGTTTCCTAGCTGAAATGATAGCCTAATATAGACTGCCAAGCGAGTAGAGTGGAGTAGAATAGAGTGGAGTGGAATGGAATAGAATAGAATAGAATAGAATAGAATAGAATAGAGCTGGAAGGGACCTTGGAGGTCTTCTAGTCCAGCTCCCAGCAGGTGATCCTATACTATTTCAGACAAGTGACTGTCCAATCTCTTCTTAAAAATCTCCAGTGATTAAGCACCTTACTGTTCAGAAGTTTCTCCTTAATTCCAGTTTGCTTCTCTCCTTGATTAGTTTCCATCCATTGTTTCTTGTGGCAGCCTCTCAAATACTGAATGCTGCTACCATGTCCCCCTTAGTCCTTCTTTTCTCTAGACTAGCCAAATCCAAATTTTGCAACCGTTCTTTATGTTTTTGTCACCACACCTTCTTAGTTGTTCTTCTTTGCACTTTTTCCAAACTTTCAACATCTTTTTTGTAATGTGGTGACCAAAATTTGATGCCGTATTCCAGGTGTGGTACTAATACTTCACATGATTTTGATTCTACGCCTCTGTTTATATAACTAAGGATTGTATTAGCCTTTTGGGCTGCTGCTGCACACTGCTGACTCATGTTTAAGTGATCGTCCACTACTTTAAGAAAAGCCAATAATTTGGATTTCTTTTCCCTTGGAGATATAAATTATTGTGATGCTAGTTGGGAATGGTGGGAGCTATAATCCAGTTTGTCCTGGTTACCTGGTTGGGAAAATTAACTTTATAGTGCAATGGTGAACTGACAAATATTTGAAACAGTTTTTTTGTGTACAAAAAGCCCTCATATGCACCTTTTCTCTCCTGCAAAGCAGACAATTTCATTGAGAAATTTCACTCAGAAATCTATAACTTACAGATACATATGCCACAAGGCATGTGACCAAGGAAGCAGTGATGGCATATGGGATAGATGTATTGGGACTCTTGGCTTCTTCTCCTGTAGTAGCAATGATGTCAAAACCAATGAAGGCATAAAAACAAGTGGCTGCCCCTTGTAGTACCTGCAAGATATTTATATAATGTTGCTCATTAATGCTACGCAATGAGGGTTAAAGTTCATTGTATCTTTAGTTAAAAGTTTCCTTTGGGGTCCTTGGTGCTCTCTGACCTTTGTTGTTTTCTTGCAGGCATTTCATTACCAAACTAAGTAACAACATCAGTGCCATCAGTGGTAACCAAGGTCAGAGAGCACTGAAAATCCTACAGTTCAATTCTGAGGTAAAAAAAAAAAAATCTCTTCTATCTGTAAAAGTTTCCTTCTTGCGCTCTTTGCAATCAACGTAGCCCATTTTTTCATAAATTTCCCTGGGTTGAGTAGAATGGTTTCACTTACTGTTTTTCTCTTATTTCCTTTCTCATTTTTTTTTAAAAAAATAACGGAATAGTTGGATTGCATGGAACTAGATGAAACCATAGGCAAATCAAATGTAAAATCTTGCAAACTAAGAATTTTTTAATTAAGAACATACCAACCTCTCTGTTTGCCAGCAGAAGCGCAGTTCTACAGCAAAGAAAATGAATTTGGCACCAGGCTACTGATTATTTTAAGTTTCAAAGGCAGGGGTGCATATTTTTAAGCAAGTGTAGCAGAAATTAAGACTTCATGCCATACTACACTTGAAGATAAGCCTAATAATCATACCAGGAGGATTACAACATTAGAATGAGGATTTTCAGCGGGAAAGTGTATAAGAGAAAGCATTAAAGTGTGTTTACATAGGCTACCCATTCAATTGCTTTTTGGTTTTTAAAAAAAGTCATGGGATTCAACTTGCAATAAATTAAATACAGGCAATTTTCATTCCGCAATCAAACCTGAGACAGGCAACTTAACTGCTAAGTGGGGTGGTTCCTACCTGGAAAATCATGTAATCTCAACTATGCTTACAATTATATTTCAGCTTTTCTTTTCCCCCTACCTCAGCCTTTGGAACACTCACCCCAGTGTTTGTTCAATTACTAAGACAATTGTAATTTACATTCATCAGCAAAAAAGATGATAAGAGAATAAGCCCAAGTATGCTAGGCAAACAGCTGTGCTGCTACATTGGTCTCTGTGTATTCCCCATTGTGTGTCTGCTTACTCTCTTGTAGTCCTTTTCTCTCCAATCTTTCCACTCTGAGATAGAGGGAGAGAACCAAAAAAGGGTCAGACGTAGGACAACACATACTGACTCTAATGGCAAACATCTGACGGAGCGAAAAGATGCTGCAAATGTCACAAAGGCATCCTTCGTTATTTTTTCAGCACCATCATAACTTTGAATGGCTGCTGCATGAAGCAATCAGTAAAAAAGCTCACCCATAAGCACCCACCTAACAGCATTAGGCAGAATCCAAAGCAAACATGCTGGACCCCAGTTCTTTTCCCTTACTCACCAGCAGCCAAATAAAACCTATTAGTATCTCATTCACTTTAAAGGGATGCCTTTTTCATTCTCTGGCTGTAACATGACAGCAGAAAAAGGCAAGCGGACTTACAACCACAACTGAACCCAAAGTTTATGTTGCTATGTGAGACATATGTTACTGTACGCGAGTTTTGCCCCGTTTTACCCACCTTTCTTGCCAACATTTGTTAAGTGAACCACTGCAGTTGTTAAATTAGTAACATGGTTGACAACTGATTCATATTCATGATGGTTGTAGGATCCCAGGATCATGTGATCACCTTTTGCGACCTTCTGACAAGCAAAGTCAG